TTTTTTTTTTAAGAATTATTTAACTTTATTTTTAAAATTGGACCAGACAGGGACAGAGTGAGAGAGAGAGAGAAAGCAAGAAAGCAAGCCACCAGGTCCTGGATTCAAACTGCACAGTTGGCCATGTGGGATCCAGCCACCTTAACCACCATGTTATGGGCTGGCCTGGTGTTTGCTTTTGAAGGCTCCCTCTGGATGTCACCCTGGGGAAGGCAATGCAGGGGCAGGAGGAGGAGTTGTTCTGGTCATTCCTACAGAACTGACAGTGGTTAGGCCTCACTTGGGAGTGGTCACGTGGTTGGAGAGGAAGGAGCAAGCTGGAGTGCTCTTCAGAGTGGAATCCCTCTAACTCAGAGGCTGCTCTGAGTGGGAGGATGAGAGCCCAGGCCCCTTCCTGGAATCTGGCCTGGGTGAGGGTGAACGGGCTGGGACTGGCCTAAGCCTGCACCGGAAACTTGTTAGATGTGGAGAAATACCTGAGAAACCTCCAGGGGAGGGTGTTCAGGAGGCTACTGGGGATGCACATTTGAAGTGAAGGGAGAGGATGGACTGGAGGGAGGTGTATGGCAGCAGGGTGTAGATAATAAAAGAAGGTGTCGAGAGAAAGCAAAGAGCTGGGTCTCAGCCTAGAGGTACATAACACTGTAGGTAAACCAGGAAGGGAGAGGGAGTCCTGGGAGCAAAAGACCATGCCTGAAAGCCAGGGGGCTTGCCTACCCCTGAGGCCCAGTGTCCTCCCTGCAGGTGTCCTATGAAGACGTGGATCACCTGCGGCCCCATGGAGTGCTGAATAACACCCGGGTGCCCCACTTCATGCAAGACTTGGCACGCTACCGGCAGCAGCTCGAGCACATCATGGCCACCAACCGGCTGGATGAGGCAGAACTAGGCCGCCTGCTGCCCGACTGATGTTGGTTCAGGATTCCAGATCGGCCCCCTGAACATGAAGCTGTCTGCTCTGTGCTTCCACAGTCTGGGTGTTTCTTGGGGGTATGGGGAGGGCAGAAGCAACCTGGGAGGAACAGGAGCATCAGAGGGTTTGTACCCCTCGCTGGCCTCCCTGGGGCCTGGAGACCAGCAGCAGCGTGTCAGACAAACAGCCACCCTCCCGCCTCCAGCTCTCTGTTGAGCAGAGGGAAGACCTGGGAGCAGGAGGGGAGCTTGGCTTCTAGGGGGGTGGGGTGGTTGGGGAGTAGAAGTTGTTCTTGCATGAGATGGCTTTGGGTCTCTGGCTACTCTGGTCTCTCCCTTCCCCCACTTGGCCCCTCGGTGCTCTTCCAGCATTCATGCTGTCTACCTCTCACTGGGTCCTGGTGGGGGTTGGGATCCCTTCTCCTGGGGTGATGGCCTGAGCCTGAGGTCCTGGATTTCACATAGGCTCTACGGGCGGGGGTCCTGGCAGCAGAGACCCAGCTGGGCTGGGTTATGCTTTCCAGCTTTTGCCTCTCTCGCTGGTCATGTATTTATTCCACATTTATGTGCCCTACTTCCTGGGGCTGGGAGGCCACAGCTCCTGAAGGTTCGGTAGAAGGACCCTCCTGGAAGGCATGGATTGTTCTCAGCCCCATTCTTGTCACGCATACACACACATACATGCACACACTGTGCTTCAGGCCTTGTGAGTCCAGCTCCCTGGCCCTGCTCCCACCCCCTTGCTGGTCTTTGTTGTTCCTGTCTTTGCCCATACCCTCACAGCTGGTCTCTGCAGAGGTTGGCAGAGCTTGGGAGCAGCCAGGATCAAGCCTGAGGGGCAGGCCTCTGGGGCTTATCGTCTCAAGTCTCAAGCCCCTCTTGGACCAGGAGAGGTGCAGAGGTGGTGGTTTCTCTTCAGACTCTGTGTGAGGTTGACCCAGTCCCATGCCTACCCTTGGTCTCAGTATTCTCATCTGTAAAACTCGCAAACACAGCTGGAAAGTCCTTGTTCATTTAGTCAATGGATATGTATAGAGCGCTTTCTGTGTGCCAATTGCTGGTCAGAACCCTACTGGGCTCCCAGTGCAGAGGGAAGCCGGACAATTAAAACAGCAATTACAGTGGTGTGTGTGTGGCCTGTCTACGCGGGTCCCTTCTAAACCCACTTCCCAAGGCTGGGAGCGTTAAAGAGTTCTAAGTGAACAGAAGTCCCCTTCCCTCACTCTACACCAAGCTTAGGGGCCTCCAATGGAATGGAGTTGGCACCTAACAGTCCCCTAAATGGCCACATGGGGAAAAGGGCCAGGAGCAGGAGTCAGGCCCTTGTGCCAGTAGGGATCTGCATCCGGGTCTCCAGGGCTGCAAGGATGCAGTTTGGGTTGTTGAGGGCAGAAATAGGCTGTGGACTGAGTGATGGCGCATGGAGCTGCTCAGGTCACTTGGGGCTCAGCGCATACACCTACTCTCAGTTCCTGGGCAAACACCCTGAATCGTAGAGGAGCCCATGCCCAGGGCGACCCTGTGGAGTTTATTCACTTCCATCAATAGCAGCTGGCAGGGGTGGGGGCTTGGTGACATCCGCAGGCTGGATTCCAGGTCCTGTCCGGCTTGGTTCAGAAACCGCCAGTCAGTGTCCTGGTCTTCAAGAATCTAGAGATGATAGGAGACAGTAGTCAATGAACATAGACTAGCCCCCCTTTCCAAGGTCAAATAGGCAAAGGTTTGGGTGGCCTCACACCTTCGACCTCATCCCCAGCCTCATAGTCGGGCTCCGACTCTGGGTCAGGCTCGGGCTCCGGGTCAGGCTCTGGCTCCAGGTCAGCTTCTGGTTCTGCCTCCGGCTCTGGTTCCAGCTCAGGCTCAACCCCTTCAGAGGCCTCAGCCTCCGGCTCTGGCTCTGGTTCCTCTGGGGTCCCAGATTGCATCGCCTCGGACCCCTCAGGACACCGGGCCTCCTCGTGATCTGAAGCTCTGGGCAGCCCAGGGCATGTGGTTCCTGAGCTGGGTGCCTCTGGCGTCCAGTGACCGGGACAGGGAGGGTCGTAGCTGCGGTCCCTGTAACCTGGAGCAGAAGTGGGGGTGTCTCAGGTTCACATTTCCTTTGCACACACTCACCAACCTCTCGGGGAGACCACAACTCCAACGCCGCTTAACCTTTGCCACGCCCCAGCCACTCCCACGGTCCTGACCTAGGCCCCGCCCCGCGCGCGCTCACCAGGACCCACGTGCTGCCAGTCCCAGGCCGGGTCTGGCGCGCGCGCGGTATTCTGGGCACAGCGCAGCAGCTCCTGGCAGGCAGCCTCGCCCTTGGCCTGCACTAGCAGGAGCAGGCGGCGCACCCTGCGCTCGGCATCAGGCAGTGCATCCAACGCCTCGTACTCGGGTCCGGTGAGCACGCCCCGCGCCAGCAGCGCGTCCAGCAGCAGCCCGGAGTCTGCTTGCAGCGTCTCTACCAGGCGTTTCCGCTCGCGGTCGATCGTTTCGGATGGCCGCTCCTGCGCGTTGCCCATGGTCGGAGCTGCATGGGGGAGGGGGAGCGAAGTGATAGGGGCCGGGGCTTCCCTACCCTTGACCTCTCCCCCACGGCCCTCGTGAACACCCACTGGTGGAGACCAAGTTCACCTCGACCCCAGCGACCAGACAGCTCCGCAGCACTGAACTCCGGGGCACTCACGGAACTCCTCGTCCTCCTGCCTCTCTGGCCACAGCTGCCGCTTCTGTCGGCTTCTGTCTGGTCCCTTAGGCTCCTCCTTCCATCGCTAAACGTCAGCCTGGGCTCTCCCCAACCAGGACCTCCCTCCTGAGCTCCAGCTGCCAGAAGATCCAGAGACTGCCTCACCCCCAATTTTCCCAAACTAACCTCTTCTTTTCCCTGAAATTGATTCTCTACCTCAACAGCCGAAAAACCTAGGATGGATCCTGATATCCCAACACCCAGCTTGCAGTTGAGGCCTTTCCAGTGCGTCTGCTGAGTACAGTATTTCTCCACCATCCTCACCGCTTAGTCCAGACTTTTACCTCCTGCCTGAACCCCGCTGACCCCCAGATCAGGGTTCTCTGCCTCCACAGTGTCCCCTCAAATCTCCTCTGCCTCTGAGCACAAAGTGCTGAGAGTCCCCCCTCTGTACCTTGCCCTTTAGCCTGACCCTGAGGCCCAACTGCAGGACAGGCCCTGCCCCCACCCCTGCGCCTCTCAACACCATCATGTTGCAATCCCAGCGTGGTTTCGTGGCCCTTTCTGGTTCTCTGATAACTGATCGAGGATATATGAATCCTCTGAGTCCTAGTTTTGACCAAGATCTCTTGATACCACTTGAAACCCTGTTGTCTCCCTGCTGGCCTGGGAATGACTCACAGCCATCTTTTGCTTAATCTTGATATACCCAGAGCCCAGCTCATGAAAACTACCAAAAAATGCTTGCTGAACTTTTACTGTTTTTCCTCCATGCATCTCCCCATGTTGAGAGATGGTCTCTACCAAATAGCAGGTATTAGGTAGAAATTAAGCAGCTTTTTCCATGTATCACCAACCAAGGACCATGGTCCATTCTTGAGTGACTGGACCCAGCCAGCAAGGCCCCTGACATTAAGAGGCAAAGCGGGCAGGCCCTGGACCACTCCCCCCCTCAGTCTGTTCTTACTGCCTTGACTGTGTTCACACAGGAGACTTCCAGTCTCCTCTTCCCTTCGATGTCCCTCCTCTGCCTCCTTACCTGGCCCAGGAGGCTGGGGCTTCCCTGGGAGAGAGGATTTGGTCCCAGCCCACTTCCTGACTCCCAGGTCTATCTCAGTCCCCTCTGGTGTCACACTGTGCCTTCCCTGGTCACTGCACACCCCTGTCCCCATGCCATATTCAAGTGTCAGTCCTTTTCTAGGGCCACCAAACTATTACCTCCTTTCCTTCCATCTCCCTTCATGTCCCATCTGTGACAGGTAATGCTCTTCCACCTCAGTGAGTTTCCATCAACTCCTGCTCCAAACCCCACCCTCGTCTCCTCATCTCAAGCAACAGTCTCTCTGAGTACCCATGCCACCCTCCCACCCGCACACAGCATGGTGAACTGGACAACTCTTGGGGTAGGATCATTGTTTCCATTTTGCAGATGACAGGCTCTCGGTGACCAAGTGGATCTGGTCCAGCAGAGTCAGTCCCACCACCTATCTCCCACCCCCCACTGCCCATCGCAGAGGATCCAAACTATCTGAGCTGGCTGCTCTAACCAACCTCCCACTACCCCATAGCCAGGCTCTTACTTCCCTCTACCACTGTGTGCTGGGAGAACTTTCTGTACCCAGTACCTCTGAGCCTTTGCTGATGCTGTTCCCCACACCTGGAACTCCCCTGTCTGTGGACTCATGTTTCAAGATTCATGTGTTCCCTTGTCCACCCCAATAGCTGGCTGTCCCGAGGATAGGTGGTTGCTCGTTCTGTGAACAACATCCTCCCTCTGCTGCATTAGCTGACGTCACTGCAGTGTGTACACTGGCACCCTTGGCTCTCTTCAGCCGAGGCTTCCAAATGGCCACCCCACCCACTAATCTAGGGGCACAAGAAGGTAGAGGAGGACAAAACCTACTCTGGGCAGACATAGGAGGGAAAGTGTAGATTGGATGGGCCCTTCCTCCTCCCTCACTCCTCCCTGAGTTGTTTTCATTTCAGTCTTTTCCTCCCACTACCCCAAGGTCTCCCTTTGTCCCATCTGGGTGTCTGGGGAGCAGAGACCTCACTGTTCTAGGCCCTCCTTTGAGGCTCTTATTAGAGCTCTGTGGTCAACACTGGTCATGACAGGGCCAGTCCTTCAAGGATCACAGGCCAGAGGTTTCCCAGAGCGCCAGGTGGCGAGGGGTGGAGCTGGGCCCCAGCCCCCAGCCCCACCCAGCTGCGCGGGCTCTTTTGTGGGGAGCAAGGGTGGTGGGAACCTGCAGGAGCCTTTGCTCATGTGCGACCGCAAGAATCCCCTTTCCTCCCTCCACCCAGTTCCAGGGCGTGAGAGTCCTGCGGAAGGGCGGGGCTCACAGACCTGCTAGGAGCGCTGATTCTGTGGTCTCAGTTGCCCTTCCCTCCCCCAGCCGGGCGGAGCGGGGCTCCCGGTTCAGCCCGTTCCGGGCGGCCCCACTCACAGGTCGAGCCTCCGCGAGGCAAGAGATGACGGTGCAGAAAGGGCCAGGCGGGGTGGGGGTGAGTGCAGCAGCTGCGACGGGGGCGGGGCAGCCGGGGGGGCCCGGGGGGGGGGGGGGGG